ATAAATCTTTCTGAATAAATCTACTTCTACTAAACTATGGCTTGCTCTTGAATTCTTTCCTGAGTGAAGCCAAGGACCCTCACTTGGTGGGTGTGTCCCAGGGACTCAACTGAGACCTGAGACATGGTCATCCTCTTACCCGCTATTTTTTCCTGTATCAGAAGCACTAAGCTAATAACTCTCAGCCTCTATCCAAAATACCCATCTTAGAACTTTATAGAAAGGAATTGACATCCGGAGGGCAGTTTTGGCCATCAGAGTCCTCATCTAGCCAACAGCTTCACAGGTGACATAAACAGAATGGCATATTTTTACTGTGACCTGCACTAGGTGTGATAAAAGACCCTTACCAGCTACCCTGGGGCCTTATCTACACAGGAAACTCTTCTTTTTATTAGATGCAACTCTATATTCCAGGAAGCTGTTCACCCAGTTTATATAAGATAATCAAAATATCAGAAGGATGGTTTATAGAAGGAAAAATATCTATGCCCTTGCATAATTTATGGAATGTGTATGCATAAGTGTGCTGGATGAATTTGCACCAAAATGCTATGTTAGCAAACAGAAAGGTTTGCATAGTGACCACAAAGTGATGGAAATGGAGTAAAAACAGCCTCATGCTATATTGCCTGAACAGCAAGCCTTAAAGGGCACATTGGTGATTAAAAGTGCTTTGATAACAAACTGGATTTGGTAAGAAATCATGATATTATAGGATGGTAAGAGTGCTGAACCAAGAGATAGGAGTTTCTATTTCCTCATTTGCAAAATAAAGAAAACTAAAATATTTTTGGTGGGTTTTTAAGCTCTAACAGTCTATAATTCAGTGATCTTAGCCTGTGCTGTCTTGTGGGGAGGCAGTGAAGCAGAAAGCCTAAAAGCATGGGCTCTAATCAGACTGGGTTCAAATGCCAGCACCACCACTGCCTACCTGGGATGCTCTCCAATACTAACACCCAGTTCTGTGATTCTCAGACGCTCAGGTTCAACCATTCAATTCAGTTCTGATCCTAACCGCTCAGAGTTAGCACAGACCCCACACGTTAAAGGTTGTCTCACAAGACTGCCCCCCCCACTTCAGAGGCAGTTAGGGCCTGTCAAGGACAAGACCATCGTGCCACATTTTTTTAATTGTGACTAGAGGGTGGGCATTAAACTGTGGGTTGTATTAAATGAAATAAAATTCATAGATTAAAGAAGGTGATGGTTCCACTGTATTCTGCTGTGCAGACCTCTTCTAGATTGCTTTTATCTAATTCTGAGCATCATATTTCAACACAAACTTAGAAAAATGAGATGTGGCCACTAGTGGGCAAGGGTCTGAAATGGACAGACAAGTTAGTGGTGCTAACCTGGAGAATAAATGGCAAGACGCATGATAGTAGCCTCCAAATATTACATTTAGTCTGTAAAACTACAGAAACCAGCCCAGTGACCAAGGGTAGCTATTTTGTGAAGGTTTTTTTTTTAAACTCTTAATGGAAAGTACAACATACATACAGAAAAGTGCGTAAATCTTAAATGTATAGCTTGAAGAATTTTCTCAAAATGAACACACTGAATAACCACCACCCAAATCAAGAAACAGAACATTAGTACCCAGGAATGCCTTTTCTAGCCATTCTCCCTGAAATGGTAATTACCTAATTTCTAACACCAAAAATTAGTTTTGCCTGCTTTCCAGCTTTTCATAAGTGGAACCATCTATCATGTGCCCTTCCACGTCTGACTTACTTTGTTCATTATTATGTCTGTGAGGCCCATCCATGCTATTGCAAAGTCCATTCAAACTCACTGTATAGTATATTCCATTCTACTCTGGATGGGCATTTGAACTATTTCTAATTCAGGGCTCTGATGAATAGTGCTGCTATGAACAATCTTATACTTGTCATTTACTGCATATATGTATGCATTTCTGGATCACAGAGTAATTTCTGGATCACACATTTTCAGCTGTAGCATCCCAAGGTGACTGTTTAAATTTACATTCTTACCATCAGAGTTATGAGAGTTCTAGTTGCTGCATATTCTCACCAATGGTTTTTACTTTGTTAGGTGAAGGCCTGACGTTTGGCCAAGGACCCACAGACTGCTAGAGCCTGCTAGGTCTCTCAGGAGCGTGCGTGTAGTTTTATGTCCATGCAGGTTCCATGCCACCAGGAACATGTGGGAGCTTATCAAAGCCCATAATGGCTGTCATGCTCCCCAAATCTTCCTGTGAGATTTCCGGCTGGCCTGTTCATTGCTGGCCCCAACCAGTAACACAACCTCAGGCTAACCATGATGTTGGCCTTCCCTGATTATAGTCACCAAGATTACTATTCTTTACACAAAATCCCAAGCTTGGGTTTTTCTAAACTTTGCTTCCAATCAAGTCAGCCCCCTCTGGCAGAGCGGCTGCGGGTCCTCTCAGCCGCGCTGCCCTGAGAGAACTACTGCTCCATGCAGCTGAGGGGGATCTGGGAGCAGCTCCAGTCCAGGTGCCATGGACTCCCACCATTCTTACCAAGGTTTAGTAGATTTTATTGAATAAATCCTTCTCAATCTTTTACATGACTTTGGTCAACTTCTGGTTTCCTGAAATTGCAGTTTTTCACAACAATGCCCACTTTACCATTGCCTTTTGGGGAAAGAACTTGTAGAGCTCTTTACTCAGCCATTCCAAAAGTTCCGTCCCATCTCTTCCTCCTGGAAGACCCATATAACACTTTTACTTATGTCTCTTTGGCCAGAATCTATGCACCTGGACAAACACTGTCTGCAAGGGAGTGTAAGATATGTAGTCTTTATTTGCACAGCAGCATGCCCAGCCAAACTCACACACATTCACAAAAACTGAGGTTCTCTTAATTTGAGAGAGAAGAGGAAATGGAGAATTGGTGGGCACTGGATAGTCTGAATAGTGCCACACTGATTTATGGGTAGGAAAAATAAATATGATAAAAGTGACAGCATCCCTGAGCTAATCTATAAACCCAATGCCATCTGAATAAAAATATTACTGGGATAACCAAATGATACTAGTACTTATCTGGGAAAAAAATATGATAGCTCTGAAAAAACGTTTAAAAGGAGACCAAAGAGGTGAAATCAGTCCTACAGATAATAAAATGCCATAAATTCTGCTCTGCCATCAATAAGGCAGAAAAACTAGACAAAATGTTTGCATTCGCATGATGAAAGGCTAGTTTCCTTTATATAAAATAAGAAAAAGAACAGCACAATTTAACAATAAAATGATCTTTACTTTTTGTTTTTAAAAATTGCTTTCATCATGCTTTTTGGTAGAGAATTATTCTGGACTGTGGGCAGGAGAGGACACTGGATAGAGAGGCCATACTTTCCAGTTGTTTTCTGGTCAAAGTACCAAAATAACCCCAAATTCCAAAAAGAATGAAAGGAGGTACATTACTAGAGACCCCGTTAGAAGTTAAAATAATTATAAAGAAATTTTATCAACTACTTTATGTATTTAAGTTAGACAACTTAGATGAAGTGGACAGATTCTTAGAAAAACACAAATTACCAAAACTGACTCAAGAAGACGTGGAAAATCTGACTAAACCTAGGTCAGTAAAAATATTAAACTAGCAATAAGAATTAATCTTTCCACAAAAAAAGCCCAGGCAGCCTCTCCGGGGAGTTCTGTCAAACATTTGGGGGAAAAAGAATAGCAATTCTTCACAAATTCTTTCAGAAAATAAAGGAAGAGGGAATACCCTCCAATTTATTTCATACGGCCCATAATATCCTTATACCAGACCCAGGCAAGACACCACAATAGACAAAGATCAATACAGTGACCCATCTAGCTATCTATTTATCTACACACACACACACACACAAGCAAATAAAAGGCAGCAACATAGAAATATTATAAACCATGACCAAGTGGCATTTATCCCAGATATGCAAGGTTAGCTTAGTATCTGAAAATAAATTAATATAATACACCATATTAGTAAAACAAACAACAAAAAATCACATGTCCAACTCAACAGGCACAGAAAAAGCATTTGATAAAATCCAACACCTCTGTATACACAAACTCTCAATAAACTAGGAAGAGATGGGCCCATCCTTACCCTGCTAAAAGGCATCTGTGAAAAACCTACAGACAACAAACATCATCGTTAATGGTCAAAGGATGAATGTTTTCCATTAAAACTGGGAACAAGTCAAGAATGTCTATTCTTCCCATTTCTGGGTTCAGGATCATACTTGAGTTTGCACTAACGAGCGCAGTAAGGCAAGAAAAAGAAACAACAGGCATCCAGACGGGAGAGAAACAAACTGAACTATCTTTATTAGCAAGTGATACGATGCTAAATGTAGGAAATCCTACAGAATCTCAAAAAAAAAAAATCCTACTAGAACTAATAAGTGAGTTTAGCAAGGTCACAGAATACAAGCTCAACAGGCAAAAATCAATTATATTGTTACACATTAACAATGAATAATCCAAAAGTGAAATTAAGAAAACAATTCCATTCACAATAGCATAAAATGAAATACTTAGGAAAAAGTTTAACAAAAGATGCAAAAGTCCTGCACACTGAAAACTACAAAATGTTGCTTAAAAAAATTAAAGATGACCTACGTGAATGGGGCAATAGGACTTCTTCAGGTTGGAAAGCTCATTATTAAGATGGCAGTTCTCCCCAGATTGATCTATAAGTTCAATGTAATCTCTATCAAAATCTCAGTAGGCATCTTTGTAGATATTGACAAGATGTTCCTAACAATTATATGGAAATCTAAAGGACCTAGAATAGACAAAACAATTTTCGAGGGAAAAAAAAGAGAACAATATTGGATACCTTACACTACCAATTCATGACTTACTAAAAGGCTACGGTAATCATTATAGTGTTGTGTAGGTATAAAGATAGATAAATAAATTAATAGAACAGAGAAGCATGTCTGAAAATAAACTCTTACATTAATGGTCAGCTGATTTTCAACAAAACTTTAAGGATAGTCTTTTGCGGGGGGGGCATGACTCCCACTTCTGGATTAAAGATTAACTTTGGCCACAAGGAGGTTTGAAAGGATCCAGAGGAGCAGTTAAGATTCCCAGAGCTGAGGTGAGAGTGGATGAATGGGTAGGAAGGTTAAAGAAAAAAACCTCTTGGAGATTCTAGCAGACAGTTTGCCTAAAGACACTTTAAATCTTCCAGGAGAATACCAATTGGCCCTGAAAACACTTCTTTAAAAAGCCTACAACTCTAAAAACTGCTTCTGCAAATGTGATGCTTGAAAGCAAAAGTACATATAAAAGGGAAAAGTATATTCCCCTTTGACCCAGAAATCCCACTCCAGGGAATTGGTTGATTCTAAGGAAATAACTCAAATGAATGTTGTTAAAGTATAGTTTGTCATGGTGACAAATTTGAAACAAAGTCCAATATTTAATAATTATAGTACAAGAACTCAGTAGACTACTATGCGGCCATTTGTAAATCAGACAGATGAAGCAACATGGCAGTGTGTTTACAATGTAAAAATGAGCATCCAGATAAATAAAGCCTGGCGGGGGAGGACTCAAAGAAGTGAAAATAATTATAATGCTGAATGTTAGAAATAGGAGCATGTTGATTTTTTCTACTTTAATAAAAAAAAACAGTAAATGCACATATTTTACAGACTGCCTGAGATTCAGGGTGGAAGGGGCTACGCAAGGGCATAAATACAGGAGAGACTCATCAGGGGTCATCCTGGAGGCTGGCTACCACCATCACCTCTCACCTGGCTTACTGTGATAGCTCCTCAATTGAATCCCTGTTTCTGTCTCCCTGGAGTCTATTCTCAACATGGCAGTCAGCAACCCTCTTATATCTTATTGCATTGCTCCTCTGCTCAAAACCTTATAACAGCTTCCTAAAGCCAAGTAAAAGCCAGTCTTTACTATGGTTCCAAGGCCTACATCATCTGGCCCTCACTACCTTTCTGATTCAACATCTAAAACTCTCTCCTCACTCACTCTACTCCAGCACAAATGCTATGCTTCATATGCACTAAGCAGACTTCTGCCCCAGGGCCCTTGCACTGGCTCTTTCCTCTGTCTGGGATGTTCCCCCTCCCCCCCAGATAACCACATGACCGGTTCATTCAAATACCAGCTGCTCAAAGAGATCTTTTCTGGCCATTACATATAAAATAAAATAGCACCCCTGTCATTTCCTGCCTGTAGCACTTAACATTTATGGCCTGGTTTCCTCCACTGGGCTGTAATCTCCATGAGAGCAAGAGGTTTGCTTTATTCTTGCTGAAGTCTAAGGATCCAGAGAAGTGCCAGGATCCAGGGCACATAAGAGGCACTCAGTAAATATTTAATGACTGAATAAGTGGGTTAATGAAAGTGGCTGATAGTCCCGGCTCTGCCTGCAAAAATGCCCTGCTAATATTGTGAATTATGTATATGAGACAGAAGAAAAAGGAGGCAAGAGGAAATGGCCATATGGGCAGATGGATGGGAAAAAGTGAAGTTATTAATAAATGAACAAGAAAGGGAGGCATGGAGGTAAGTCAGGAAAATAACTGTGTGATATGAAGTAGATCATTCAGATTTGTCAGTCTATGAAATTTTAAAAAGGAACGAAGTTTAATTTGAAAGAAGAAAATTTCACAGCATAAAATTACGCAAACTCAGAGAATAAACGAACAGTTTATCCATGAGTTAAAGGAACACACAAGCATACTGTAGTTTAAAATAATAAAAGACTGAGAAAAAAATATGTTGTTTATGAAACTATGGCGGAAGCTTACTAGGACATGCCCTCCGCATGGGATGAATGTTCCGGGGCAGCACCTGTCGAGTGGACAGGATCTTCTCCATCTTGTCCTGGAAATCCTTGTCTGCTGCTATCCCTGCTTCAAACTCTCGGCGTTCCTCCTCCTTCTCTGCTTCCCGGGCTCTGCTGCTGGTAGCACATTTGCATCTGAAGTTGCTTCCTGTACTCCTGGGCTAAACTGCAGCGTCTGAAGTATTAGACATGTCAAAGTATAAAATTATGAAAGCAAGCATTTGGATTTATGTAGGACATTACGATTAAAATGTAATTTGAGAAGTCAAATTAAAATCTCCGTTAAAATCAGGGTGACTGGGAAAGAAAAAGATGAAAAACTCAAAGTGTTTATTACACAATAATAATTAAGACAATCTTCCAACAAATGTTGATTTTAGGTAGGAATTGTTTCTTTTACATTCAAATATTCACTGCCATGTGGAGAGTCCTTGGTCTCTCTCCATCCTCTCTCACTCCCTCCAAGGATGAAGGGAGGTATCTTTTGGTAAAACTGGAAACAGGCTCATCTGCCTACTTCCTCTCTGCCCTCTGTCAAAGGGGCATGTCCCTGCAGGGGAGGCCTGCCTAATTCTGTTCAGTATTAACTAGACTATTTCCTCCATATATGAGCCACATTTAAAATATGTAAGCCACATTAAAAAATTTATAGTGATTTTTTTCATTGTGATAAAAACCACATAATGTAAAATTTACCATCTTAACTGTTTTTAAGTGTACAGTTCAGTAGTGCTATGTATGTTCACACTGTTGTGAAACAGATCTCCAGGACTTTTTCACCTGACAAATCTGAAACTCTATACCCATTACACAACTCCTCTTTGTCCCCTCCCTTCAGCCCTTGGTAAGCACCATTCTACTTGCTGTCTTTATGAATCTGATTACTCTAGGTACCTCAAGTAAGTGAAATCACATGTATTTGTTTGTCAGTGATTGGCTTATTTCACTTAGCATGTTCAAGGTTCATCCATGCTGTAGCATCAGGATCTCCTTCCTTTTTAAGGCTGGATAATATTCCACTGTATGTACATACCACACTTTGTTTATCCCTTCATCTGTTAATGGATAGTTGAGTTATTTCTACCTCTTGGCTATTGTAAATATGAGTATACAAATATCTTTGAGGTCCTGCTTTCAATTATTTTAGATATATACCCAGAAGTGGAATTACTGGATCATATGGTAGTTCTATTTAATTTTTTGAGGAAACTTCTTACTGTTTTCCATAGCAGTTTTACCATTTTCCAATCTATAAGCCATAGTATAACATCAGATTTTATCAGAATAAAGATTACACAGGGAAATATATACAAGATCTTATGGTAGCTCACAGCGAAAAAAAATGTGACAATAAATATATATATGTTCATGTATAACTGAAAAATTGTGCTCTACACTGGAATTTGACAAAGCATTGTAACATGACTATAACTCAATAAAAAAATGTTAAAAAAAAGATTACAGCATGCATATGCCTCTGTGGCAGATTCTGTTTTCCAAAGATGGCCACAGTGACATCCCCCCTCCCCCATGCTCTTCCACAATGTGAACCTCTACTCCCCTATCAAGAGGTTGTGTTTATTTCTCCATCGCATTGAATCTAGCTGTGCCCCTGGATGCTTTTATGACCAACAGAATGTGACAGAAGTAAGGCTATGTCAAACCTAGGTATAGTCCTCAACGCCTGGCAGCTTCCTCTTGTCTCTTGGAAAACTTGCTGTTGGAATGGTTCTTCTCAGAACCAGCCACCACATTGTGGGAAGCCCAGGCCACATGGAGAGGCCACGTGTTCCAGATGAGATCCCCCATCACAGTCTCAGCATACGCTCAGCTACATGAGTAGGCATCTTAGGTGCCCATTCCAGTTGAGCCTTCAGAAGATGTAGCCCCAGCCAGCAGCATCTGACCTGAACCACACGGGAACCTCAAGCAAGAACCACCCAGCATAGCCTTGTCAACCACAGAATCATGAGAAATAATCATAACTCACTTCAAATCACAGATTTGGGGGTGTTTTGTTATACACCAATAGGTAACTATAATACCTTCCAGTCCCACTTTTTTTTTCTTATTTCTTAGTTGAATCAGAAGTTGGGCAAGGAAGAGAGTTGCTATTCATTAAGTTCCCCTCACATCTCCAACAACAGATTTTTCAGAAAGGAGAAGGAGTGACTTCCAGGGCAGAAGCAGTAGCAGGAAGTCAGCAGGGTAGGCCAGAAATTGTTGTTAGTGCTCCCAAACTGGCAATAGATTCAGATACATAAACCATACTTTTTCTACAAAGACAAGAACTTATTTCTATGTACCAAATGTGGGTGAGTCAGGGAACAGGCCTCAGGGGCAGGGAAGGTGGCTTTCAACTAGAGGAGACAATTTCTCTTTCTTCACTACACTGGTCACCTGAGTTGGGTGTATCGGCCATTGGTAGGAAGGAACTGCTGTGACCTGAAAAAGGTCACCAAGAAGGTAGCTGCCTGTTTCCTCCACCTAAGCCTGATCGTGGTGATCAGAGGGACACTTGTTAGAGGAGGGAAGTGGTATATCTCAAAGCACCTAGAGCATTTCAGTTTTCTAGCCCTGTGAGGCTACAAAAATCTTGCTGGGGACATTTGCATGGAATCATATCCCCATAAGCCATTTCTGCTAATCTAACTAATTAGGTCACATTGTATTTCAGGGTTTGTTTCATGCAAGGAAAAATCTTATTTCGTTACAATTTATGGAGGGGAGGGTATAACTCAGTGGTAGAGTGCACGCCTAGCATGCACGAGGTCCTAGGTTCAAGTCTTAGTACCTCTATTAAATAAATCTAACTACCTAACCCCCATAAAATTTTTTTAAAGATCTAGACATATCATTATAATTCAGAGTCGGTGCCTATTTTATTAAAAATGTTTCTAGTTTAATTTTTTAAGATGATTGTCCAATTTAATACCTAATGTGTATAATCAGAATGTACACAATGGCAATAGAATTTAATTTTACCAAGATGGTTGGTGCTTATTTTTATATGAAATTTTATAAACTGAATTGAGCTTTTAGGACAAATGTAAAATAATATCAGTGATACATGAATTATGGCACATTTTCCTCTATGCTAAAAGTCTCCCCTTTTTAGGTAGTTAGTAATGATAAAGAGAACAAAATCATACCTTGCAAAATTCTCCCTCTCTTCACGATTTAGCTCTTTAAGACCTTTATTTATGCATTCCTGTTCCAGAGCACGTTCCTCCTGTTCTTTTGCTTTTCGTTGCACTAAAAAAGACAAAAGCAATTTTTGCTAAATGACCTTTTTCAGAAAAGCACTTACTGACATCTTTCTGGATATTGATGCAGTATTGTCTTTAGAAAGGCAGAGCTTAGAATCACTGGCCTGGATCTTAGCTCAATAAGGTAGAAGCAGTCATTCTCCATTGAGGAAAGAATAGGGTTTAGGTTCATATGTGCTGCAATCTACAGAGATTTTCTGTTCATCTTAACCTTAACCTTAAGAAGATCCTAATTTGTAAGGGGAAATAACATGCATAATAAAAATACTGGAAGGAAATACACAAAGTTGTGAATAGTAGCTATTCCTGGGTGGTGGAATTATGGTTGATTTGTTTCCTTGTTTATAAATGGTTCCAAATACTTAAATTTTCCATGTTTCCTCAATATATTCTAAAACATTTATCATGAGTGAATACAGAAATCTTTTTAGCTTATAAGCTTTCTTTTCATTTCTTAAAACTCTATTTAATACTGGCTTAATTTTGAACTGCCATTATAATTCCTGGATTGGAAAATTAATCAGTGGAACCAAGATGAGCCTTCTCTTGCAAAGACAACTAGTGTGAAGTCCAATGGTACCCCACTAGTAAACAACTACTTCCTTCTGTGACCAAGCACTGTCTGAAGCTGAGGGAATACAAAGGTGTGCCAAGATAGAGATGTGATTAAGCAATGGTGAGAACCCCAGAAAGAAGATTTATTATGAACAGAGGAACACAGAAGGCCTCTCAAGGAATGAGACATTTGAGCTGGCCTTGAAGGATGTTCAAAATTTTCAAGATCAAAAGCATCATAGGGAGAGAAAACTACCCAAGCAAAGGTATGCAGGTACGGAAGTACGGAGACACCAGCAGAAAGAAATGAAGGGCAGATAAAAAAGAGGAGGGGGAGATGTGTGTCTGTGCCCCAACTTCTCACCCTCCTATATAATCACTAAAGCACACAGACCATTCAAAGGACATCACACGGTGCCTTTAACCTTGAAAACATCTCCATGACTACACAGAATCTTCTGGAATATAAAACTCTTCATGTTTAGACTTCAAGTATTCAATCAGGTAAATTCTGCAAAGCAGATATCATGCTTTACTCCTTTTTAGACTCATAGTATTTCACACATAACACCTATTCAATAAATATTTTGGTTGCTACTTAAATTGAATTAAGGCCCAACTATAATTAGAATTCATTCCTTACACTTTTCTTGAACTTGAAGTTTTCTTGTACACATGACCTCATTCACAAGTTGTTTTCTTGCTTCCTTTTCAAGTCTCAGCATCTTGTCCTTCTCAGCAAACTTCCTTTCCTTCTCTTCCTCTAATTTTCTGTCCAGTTCTATCTCCTGAGCTTTTTCTTCCTCATGCCGCTGTGCCAAATACTGATGATATATCTTCTGTTCTCTTATCATATCTTCCTACATAACATAAAAATTACATAATGTTGCTAAAAGTTTAGGTGGGATGATTCTGAGGATTGGTTTTGAAATAATCTTTTAGAGCTACAATTCCAACCTTTTAGAAATACACACTGGAACATTACAGATGAAATATTAGGTCTAGGGCTTACTTCAAAATATTCAAGGTGGTGGGGAATGGGTGGGAGGGATAGATGAAATAAAAATGGCTATTGGTTGATGGTTGTTGAAGCTAGGTAATGGACACATGGGGATTCATTGTATCATTCTTTGTATCTGTTTGAAATGTTTTATAACACATTTTTGAATAGTTCAAATAGTAATAATTCAAAGTGTTTCTCAAAGAAGTTTCCAAATAGGTTTCAATTATACATCTTTATTTTCATTTATTTTAATTTAGGTAGGTGAAATATTAACCTGACAAACAAAGTAAGTGACTACTACTATTACAGCACTGTCTCTGACTGGAAGATGAGCTACCTGATACTTCTTAACAGCAAATCTCAATCTTAGCTAAACTTTGGAATCACCTGGGGAACTTTAAAAAGTACTAAGGGCCAAGGATGTCCCCTCTCAGCACTCCTTTTCAAATTATCCTCAAAGTCCTAGCTTATGCAATAAAACAAGAAAAGGAAATAAAAGGTATATTGATAGGGAAGAAAGAAAGAAAACTTTGTTCACAGATAACATGGTTGTCTATCTAGAAAATCTGAAAGAATCAATAAAAAACTTCTGGAGCTAATCAGCAATTAAATCAAGGTTGCAAAGTTAATACACAAAAGTCAATTGTTTTCATATATTAGCAGTGAATAAGTAGTATTTGAAATTAAAAACACAATACCATTTACATTAGCACCCCAAAAATGAAATACATAGGTATAAATCTAATGAAATATGTACAAGATCTACATGAGGAAAAGTACAAAACTGATGAAAAAAGTCATAAAAGAACTAAATAAATAGAGAGATATTACACGTTCATGGATATGACAATATTGTCAAGATGACAGTTCTTCCCAACTTGATCTATAGATTCAATGTAATCTTAATTAAAATTCCAGTGAGTTATTTTGTGGAAATTGACAAACTGATTCTAAAGTTTATATGAACAAGCAAAAGACCCAGATTGGCCAACTCAATATTTAAGGACAAGAACAAAATCAGAGGACTGATCCTACCCAACTTTAAGACTTACTGTAAAGCTACAGTAATCAAGATAGTATGGAATTGGTGAAAGAAAAATCAATAAATCAACAGAAAAGAACACAAAGCCCACAAATAGACTCACGTAACTATAGCCAACTTATCTTTGCCGAGGAAGCAAAGGCTATGCAATGGAGTTAAAGACTTTCTTCAACAAACAGTTGCAGAAAACTGGACACCCACATGCAAAAACAAACAAAAGAATCTAGATGCAGACCTTACACTTTTACAAAAATTAACTCAAAATGGACCAAAGACCTAAATGTAAAATACAAAACTATAAAACTCCTAGAAGATAACAAAGGAAAAAATCTAGATGACCTTGGGTCTCATGATAAGCTTTTAGATAAAACACCAAAGGCACAAGCCATGAAAGAAAGAATTGATAAGCTGAATCTCATTAAAATTTTAAAAATTTGCTCTGTGAAAGCTCCTATCAAGAGAATGAAAGACAAGTCAAAGACTGGAAGAAAATACTTGCCAAAAACTTATCTAATAAAGGACTGTTACCTAAAATATACAAAGAACTCTTAAAACTCAACAATAAGAAAACAAAAAACTCAAAAAATGAGCCAAATATCTTAACAGGCATCTCACCAAAAATATATAGATGGCAAATAAACATATGAAAAGATGCTTGTGATGTGATTTATAGGAAGAAATATGTATTTGGTCATCATCCCCATTTGGGGCACAGAGTGCCTAAAACCTTTAGAAATTCCTAAGAGAGCACCAAAGTTCTCATTATGTTAATGAGTGACTTTTGGACCACACCTTATGTTGGGGGCTGGTTGCCAGGAGATCCAATTAGATTAGAGGGTTGGAACTTTCAATCTCACTTCCCTGATCTCTGGGGAGGAGAGAGGGGTTGGAGGCTAGATCAACTGCCAGTGGCCAGTGACTTAATCAATCATGTCTATGTAATGAAGCCTCCATACAAATCCCAAAAAGAGAGTTCAGAAAGCTTCAGGTTTGGGAACCAGAATGTTTCCACCATGCCAGGCCCCAAACTCCATGAGGATGTACATAAGTTTCTTTGTTCAGGACCTCATTCTGTATGTCTCTTCATCTGGTATTTATCTGTATCCTTTAATATCCTTTGTAATAAACTGGCAATCTAGTGAGTAAACTGGTTTCCTGAGCTCTGTGAGCCACTCTAGCCAATTAATCAAACTCAAGGAGGGGGTCATGGGAACCTCTGATTCATAGCCAGTCTGTTAGGTAACTACATGGATTTGCAAATGGCATCCTGAGTTGGAGAGGGGTCACTGGAACTTCCAGTTTGTAGCCAGCTGGTCAGAAGCAGAGGTAACAACCTGGGCTTGCGACTGGCATCTGAAGTGGAGGGCAGTCTTAGAGGACTGAGCCCTTTACCTGTGGAATCTATGCTATCTTTGGGTAGATAGTGCCAGGATTGAATTGAATTGTAGGATACCCAGCTGGTGTGCTAAGCATTGCTTGGTGATGTGGTGGGTAACCCCCACTCCACACACTGGAATTGGGTTCAGAACCCTTAACTCTCCATATCACATGACAACAGGGAAGTCAAAATTAAAACAACAATGAGATACCACTACACACCCATTAGAATGACTGAAATCCAGAACACTGACAACACCAAATACCGACAAGGAGGCTGAGCAACAGGAACGCTCATTCATTGCTGGTGGGAATGCAAAATGGTATAGACACTCTGGAAGACAGTCTGGCAGTTCTTACAAAACTACACATCCTCTTACCATGTGATATAGCAATCACACTCCATGATATTTACCAAAACTTGAAAACCATGTCCACATAAAAACCTGTACAAGATTGTATATAGCAACTTTATTCATAATCTTCAAAACTTGGAAGCAACTAAGGATGTCCTTCAGAAGGTGAATGGATAAATACACTGTGGTAAATCCACACAACAGAATATATTCAGTGCTAAAAGGAAATGAGCTATCAAGGCATGAAAAATAAGGAGGGAACTTAAATGTGTATTAGTTAGTGAAAGAAGCCAATCTGAAAAGGCTACATACTATGTAATTCCAATGATATAACATTCTGGAAAAGGCAATATGGAGACAGTAAAAGTATCAGTGGTTTCCAGGGGCGTGGGGTGGAGGGAGGGATGAACAGGGGGAACACAGTGGATTTTTAGGCCAGGGAAATTACTCTGTATGATAGTCTCATGGTAGATACACAACATTTTATGTTTGTCAAGACCTATATAGATCTACAACACTGAAGAGTGAACCCTGATATAAACTATGGACTCTGGGTGATAATGATGTTTCAATGCAGATTCGTCGATTGTAACAGATGTACCACTCTGATGGGGGATGTTGAGAATGGGGAAAGCTAGGGCAGGGGGTAAACGGGAAATTTCTGTACCTTCTGCTCAATTTTGCTATGAACCTAACTGCTCTAAAAAATAAAGTCAATCAAAACAAAACAAAACAAATCATAGTACCTGTAGGAAAAGCACTATACCCTAAAAAGTTCAATACAAATTTCAGAGGAACAGCTAAATAAATAATGGAATGATTTTTCTCTACTCTCTATTGTTCAAAGTCCAACTTGAACACCACTTTCTCAGTGATATCTCACCCAGCTTGCAGACACACTTAGTCACTCCACTTCCTGCGATCCCGTCTGCTTTCATGGTACTAACATCGTGTTATAGAATGGGAGTTCTCAAAATTTACTGAGCACCAGAATCATCTAGGGGAGCATGATAAAACACAGGTTTCTTGCCCCTGCGAAGATCTGGATTTAGAGATTCTGATTCTGGAGCCTATGAATGTCTATTTCTAACATCCCCAGATGGTGCTGACGCTGCTGGTTCATGGGCCACACTTACGGTAGCACTGCTGTGGTTTATTCTGCATGTGGCTGGCTCCCATAAGACTGACAGCACAGCAAGGAACCTCGCTAGCACACAGTAGGCACCAAATAAACATCTTACTCTTTTTTGCTTCTTTTTATCAGCCTCTTCCTGTAAGTTTTGGAGGGAGATTTGTGTGAGCTTCATGTTCAAATCCTGCTCTTCTCTGTATTCCTGCTGAGTATGTTCCATCTTCTCTTGGATTGCTTTTTGTAAAGCAGCCCTAATTTCCTGTTTTGTCTTCTGTTTCTTCAGCTTATCCTGTTCATTCTCAAGTTTCACCTGTGCTTTGTCATTTTCCTGAGGCAGAACAATAATGAAGATAATGCATCAGTACAGTTGGACAAAAAAAAGAAGCGAGTGCATTTCATTCAGGAGGTCAGAATAAAGGGTTTCTTGGAAACACACACTCGTGGATTTAAAGGCACTGAGAAATAAAACTTGCCTTTCATTGCTGAATCAGCAATAAGGTTTTGAGAAATTGCTGTGTGTGTGGTTATAAAGTAATAAATAGCTGTGGAGTTCAAAATGCATTAAAGTATAAAGACAAAATCACTTTTAATCCTAGTACCCATACACCCACTACCATTCTCAACATTTTGGTGTACTGGCCTTCCAGAACTTAGTCTTCTACGCACACCTGCATATCTAGATTCAGATACATTATTAAGCAGCAATAAGAGTCCAAAAAATTTAAACATAAAATCCTCTCTCTCTGTCCACTTGGACCTCCTCCTTCCCCCTTTAGTGTACAATATGCATCTTCATTTTACATTAACCAGGCCTGCCCAAAGATGGGAATGCCTACTAGACTGCAAAGATCAATTTTTTTTCCTTTCTTCTGATGCCAGCAATGTAACTTCTTAGAAGACCAGTATTCTTTCCAGACTCTGTAAGGGATCATGGTGACTTACTGCTTGCTAGACTACGTATCTTTGGGGAACTTTATGTAAAATGTCAGTGTGTCATTTTTTAAAATTTATTCTTATATGATTGTTCATAATATTTTCATTATCTAGCTTTTTTACTTTGAGGCTCACATGGAGTTTTTTGGGGGGGGTGTAATTAGCTTTATTTATTTTTATTTGTTTATGTATTTTTTAACAGATACACTGGGGGTTGAACCCAGGACCTCGTGCATGCTAAGCACATACTCTGCCATTGAGCTATATTCCTGCCGCTGTCAGTGTCATTTTGACGTATGATCCTTTGGCTTGAAAATGTGTATGACTGTGCCTTTGATTACTCACAGGTAGAACAATTCTCAGAGCTTCTGAGAGTCTGTATTCCCATATATAAATAATCCTTAGTTTGGCTTGAATAAAATTCTCTTTTTCTTCTTAACCTGATTGTTAATTGAATTTTCATTGACAGAGGTTATAACTATAAAGGAGTAGCTGGGTTTATCTGAATGACAGTACAGCTCTGTATCCTGATTTTGGTGGTGGTTAGTTACATAAATCTATACATGTGGTGAAATTTCATAAACCTATACCCCTTCCTCCAAAGAATGCATGTAAAAACTGACGAAATCCATAGAAGGTTTTTAGTTTAGTTAAGTAAGGAATAACTTTAGTTGAAAGTATTGTACCAATATTAATTCCTGGTTTTTCTAAGTCTCTCTTCTATATAAAATGTTTGGTTATGTAATGGTACACAGAAACTCTCTAATATTTTTGGCAACTTCTTTGTTAGTCTAGAGTTATTCCCCCCCCCCAAAATTTAAAGGAAAGTAGAAATAGACATAGCTAGGTGTGTTATAATAAAAAATAAATACTTTATCTTTGTCTCTGGGCCCTGGCACATAGCTTCTAAAACCCTTGAAATCACCAAAGCGATAAGATTATTTTTTGTAGCCTAATAAGATGACCAGTGGCTGGAGCCCTTAGATAGCTTCAAGATGGGAGCTGGTAACTAGAAAGACCAAACCATGTGATCAGATGGTTGGAACTTTTAGCTCCACCCCTTGACCTCCAGAGAGGGAAGAGGGGCCAGAGACTGAGTTCAAACACCAACGTCAATGATTCAATCAATCGTGCCCATGTGATGAAATCTCCATAAAACCCCCAAATAACAAGGTCCAGAGAGTTTCTGGGCGGGCAAACACATGAAGGTGGTGGGAGCATGGGGTGCCCAGAGAGGGCGTGGGAGCTCTGTGTGCCACACCCCA